TGCCAATTGCCACTGATCAAACAGTGTCGCCTGAACCGAAAAACACCCCTGATCGACTTCATGCCGTGGAGGGGAATGCTAGGAATCTAGGCAAGGGGGCTCTCATTGACAGCCATATCAATGGGATAAAGCCCCCGCAATGTGAGTACAATACGGATAAAGCATTGTTAGTTGTAACGGATGACAAGCTTTTTCATCCCCGGATTAACTCTGAACAGAACCTACCTACGAACGACCTGAGGCCAGTTGCCACTACACCAGTAGTGTTGCCTTCACCGAAAAACACCCCCGATCGACTTCATGCCGAGGAGGGGAATGCTAGGAATTTAGGCAAGGGGGCTCACACTGAGGGCCTTATCAGTGTGATACAGCCCCCGCAATGTGAGCATGCTACCGTTTTGAGCCCTTTTTCTTCCCCTGAATAGCTGTAAACCCGAAGTCTGCGCGATGGCACCGTCATGGAACATTTCCGCCAAACTAGCGGCCGAGGCTGGAAAAGACAAGATTGAAAAACCAGTCGAAGAATTAGTGCCAACACGGTATCATCGTTATATCAACATGTTCAGAAAACGAAACGCCATGACCTTACCACCTCACCGACGGTACAACTTCCGAGTGGATCTCGTTCCGGGTGCGACGCCGCAGGCGGGGAAAATCATACCATTATCACCGGCTGAGGAAAAAGCATTAGATACAATGATCGATGAAGGTCTAGAGAAGGGAACTATCCGACGTACCAAATCTCCATGGGCCGCGCCTGTGCTCTTCACCGGCAAAAAAGACGGCAACTTGCGACCGTGCTTTGACTACCGACGATTGAACGCATTGACCGTCAAGAATTGCTACCCTTTGCCATTAACCATGGAATTAGTGGACAGTCTGAGAAACGCTGAAAGGTATACTTCACTAGATATGCGTAATGGATATAATAACTTACGAGTGAAAGAAGGGGATGAGTCAAAGCTGGCCTTCATTTGCAAGAGGGGCCAATTCGAACCTTTGGTGATGCCATTTGGCCCAACCGGGGCCCCTGGCTATTTTCAGTTCTTCATATCCGACATCCTTCGCGACCGGATTGGCAAGGACCTAGCAGCATACCTCGATGATTTACTAATCTACACACCAGCAGGAGTTGACCACGAGCAGGTAGTAGAAGAAGTCCTCAAGACATTAGCGGAACACTCGATTTGGCTCAAACCGGAAAAATGCCGGTTCTCCCAGAAAGAGATAGCTTACCTTGGACTACTGATTTCGAAAAATCAAGTTCGTATGGATCCCTTGAAAGTATCGGCGGTGAGAGACTGGCCTGCACCCAAGAACGTCAATCAGACACAACAATTCTTGGGCTTTGCCAACTTCTACAGGCGGTTTATCAGCAATTTATCTAAGATCACACGCCCACTCCACGAGCTTACCCAAGACAATGTGAAGTTCGAATGGACCCCCAAGCGCAACGAGTCATTCGAAATCCTCAAGAATGCTTTCACAACGGCACCGGTGTTGAAGATTGCTGATCCTTATAAGGCCTTTGTCCTCGAGTGCGATTGTTCTGACTTCGCATTAGGGGCGGTCCTATCCCAGGAAGACGAGTCTGGACTACTACACCCCGTCGCTTTCTTATCTCGATCCCTGGTACAGGCCAAACGTAACTACGAAATATTCGATAAGGAATTGTTAGCAGTCGTGGCCTCCTTCAAGGAATGGAGACACTATTTGGAAGGAAACCCAAATAGACTGGAGGTGGTAGTATATACCGATCACAAGAACTTAGAAACGTTTATGACTAATAAACAGCTTACCAGGAGACAGGCCAGATGGGCGGAGATGATGGGATGCTTTGACTTCCATATACGATTCCGACCTGGTAAACAAGGTACTAAACCAGACGCACTGTCACGACGCCCCGACCTGGAACCTACCCAGGAAGAGAAATGTTCATTTGGAACGATGCTAAAACCAGAGAACTTGTCGGAATCCTCATTCAACACGGAAATCGACAGTTTTGAAGCATGGTTCGAAGGTGAAGACATTGTACACGAAGAGGTTGACAATTGGTTTGAAGACAATATCAAACACGGAAATCCACAAGAGACGTATGAGATCAATGCCATTGATAGGTCTCCAACAACCGTAGGACCCCTGTGGACAGACATCGAAATCCTAAACCGAATCAGATTGTTATCAGCTGAAGATGCAAGACTCAAGATTATCATAGATGACATCAAGAACAAGCGTGAGCACGTACCAAAAAGCTACACAGTGACTGACAACGTGCTATACCGTGATGGAATCGTCGAAGTTCCGGATGATCGTCAGGTAAAACTGGAAATCCTAAGGACACGGCACGATAGCCTATTGGCAGGCCACCCGGGTCGAGCGAAAACGTTAAGCCTAGTACAACGTCAGTACCGGTGGCCATCTATGAAGGCCTACGTGAACCGATACGTAGATGGGTGCGATTCGTGCATTCGAGTCAAGTCAACAACGTCGAAGCCATTTGGATCCCTCGAGCCGTTGCCGATCCCAGCGGGACCCTGGACAGATATAAACTATGACCTAATTCCGGACTTACCTTTATCGAACAACAAGAACTGCATACTGACCGTAGTTGACCGACTAACGAAAATGTCACATTTTATCCCTTGCACCACGGAGATGGATGCAGACGAGTTAGCAACCCTGATGTTAGCCAACGTATGGAAATTACACGGCTCACCAAAGACTATCGTATCTGATCGTGGGAGTGTCTTCATATCCAAAATCACTGAATCGTTAAATAAGCAGCTGGGTATTCAATTACACCCATCCACGGCGTATCATCCTAGAACTGACGGTCAAACAGAAATTGTTAACAAGGCAATTGAGCAGTATTTAAGGCATTTTGTTAGTTACCGACAGGACGACTGGGAAGAACTCTTACCTCTTGCCGAATTTGCGTACAACAATAGTACACATACTTCAACAGACATATCCCCATTCAAGGCCAACTATGGGTACGACCTTGCTCTAGGCCGAATTCCGACCAATGGGCAATGTATCCCAACGGTTGAGAGACGACTAACCATTATGCAGGAGGTCCAGGACGAACTGAAAGAAACCTTAAAACGAGCTCAAACGGCAATGAAGGACCAATTCGACCGAGGGGTAAGGCCAACTCCAGACTGGGATATAGGGGATGAGGTATGGCTGAGTAGTCGAAATATCTCGACAACACGCCCGAGCGCCAAACTAGACCACCGGTGGTTGGGACCCTTCAGCATCGCCAAGAAAGTATCACCGTCAGCATACCGATTAGCATTACCAGCAACACTAGGACGAGTTCACCCGGTATTCCACGTGTCGGTTCTGAGGAAACACAACCCTGATTTGATCAAAGGACGTATTCAGGAACCACCAGAACCAGTCCAGATAGAAGGCGAGGATGAGTGGGAAGTGAACGAGGTCCTGGATAAAAGAAGAAGACGGGGAAAAGATGAGTATTTGATCAGTTGGAAAGGTTTTGGAAGAGAAGAAGATTCATGGGAACCAATGGCTAACCTTAATAACGCCTCAGAAGCGATCGCCGAGTTTGATCAACAGTTTCCGAAGGCAGTGGAAGAACACAGAAGAACAAGCCGGGTATGAGAGAGGGGTAAGGTTTTTTCCCCACGGGGTTTTTTAATACCGCCCCGGGGAGGAGGGCAGGGCCGCAAACAGGGAGCCCGGGCCTAAAACGGGGGATAGTGTTATGATCCTCTATCACGGATCATGGGAGGCTATGTCAAAGACTGTGACACTTCACCCTTGTTGGGTAACTGGAGACGCACACACCAGTTGTAGACCTTTTCCCTCACGCTACAATAACCATCATAGCTGGATCACACCTCTCTCCCTTTGCCCTCACGCGCCAGCACCCAGACCCGGGTCCTAACAACTATCTCTTTTTTGAAGGGTGGATTGTTCTTTCTATTTGGCTATTGGCCAAGGCGCCTCCATTGGTGAGGTCTAGGGCTTCTGGTAAGCATGATAGAGAATGGCAGGCATTATGTGGGTGTGCCAGAACTTGATGAATGGATGAGCAGTGATCTTTATGGTTTCTCTTGAAAATCTTTTTCATCAGCCTTGTGTCTGGTTGGATCACTACATGCTTGTAGCTTGTGTGAGCCGGGTATGAATTGACATAAGAGATGAATAAAAATGCACTTCAAACCACTGCTTGGTCTCTCTCTGCTAGGATGGCATATGTACAATCAAGGTTACATTTGAGCATAGCTTTGGGTGATTAGTGTTGCCATAAGCAACAATAAAGCTGAAATGATGGTTGTCTCTGCCCCATGCCATTGAACTTGCATACATATCCTAACTTAACTAAGTCCCTCTCGGACGAACGAGTAGTCAAGAGAGGGACTTATACCTTATACCACATCTTTGGCGGATGAGCCAGAAACATTTGGCTGGGGACTTTTTCAACGCGCCATATCTGTGGATCCTGCAAACAAATGTCCTTGGGACCAAAGAAAAGAGCTATGTGCCTGCTTAATCTACACACATGTGTGTAGCCTACATCTAATTTGATTCAGAACTCACGGAGCAATCCAATTGTGAAGTTTGCAAAAATCACCAAAATTGGACACAAAGCTGTCCAGCCTGTCAAAAGCTCACACCAAACGCGCTGAAATGTTACACAAAAACAATTTTTCAAGTTGGTTTTTAAGGGCTTCCCTGGCGGCAAAGAAGGGATTTGAAAAGATGTGCGTGTGTAGGATGATCAGGCGCAGAGGACTTTTCTTTGGTACAGAGGATATTTGTTTGTAGGCTATAGAGATATGGAAGATTGAAAAGGTGCCCAGCCAAACTTCTCCGGCTCATATGCCAAAGTTGTGGTATAAGGTATAAGTCCCTCTCTCGACTACTCGTTCGTCCGAGAGGGACTTAGTTAAGTTAGATACATATCCCTACTTGAGCATCAACCAATTGTGCAGACATGAAATTCGTATATTGTGCGGTCATTGCCCATCAATATGCATGCACCAACGCGCTGTCGAGCGTGCATCTCACCCCTAACCCAACTTGCAGGCTCAGCTCACTCTTTTGAAATTTCAACTCGGTTCACAATCTCATATCGTTCAAAGGCTCTACGCACCACCTCAGAAGTTTGGACGATGGTCAAGTTACCCAAGCTAAAAACCAAGCCGAAGCGTACGGTGAGCAACCGAGGCCAGCTTTCTCTCCACCATCAAAGACCTCAATCTCGATGGCAAATCAAACTAATATAAGATTAATCCAATCGATTCATCTTTCTCGACAATGACCTATTCAGATACCGGTCACATCTTGCGCGCTAGAACTTTCAAGTCTCTTGCAATGTTGGGCAACTACCAATGACTTACAATCGATCGGGGCTTGTTCTGAAGTTGCAAAGAATTTATCTCGTTGCATGGTCACAGCCAAAGCGGCTCCAGCTCAAAGAGCGGATTCTATCAATTTCCGTTAGTAGAAAAAATGACTCATTTACATCGATCTCGAAGTCTTTCAAGCACTTATCATATCTTGTTTTTAACATTGTCGTACAAAATCTCAACGACGACAGATCTGGCTCGTCTCGGTAAAAATTTCCGGTGAAACTACTCTCAACCCAACCATTAAGGACTACATGCCGTTCTTTTCCGTTGGTTTGGCTTGTGTCGAGGACGTTCAAAACACAACACCGCCGTGTATCCATTGTGTTGGGATTGATACCACACCCAAGAAATTCTACGACCCACAAAATTCTACGTTGAGAAATCAATACTTGGGTGTTTACCACATCCATTGATTGATTGACTCTAGTCAAATCTCGCCCGGAGCTCAAACGGATCAAAATATACAAGAAGCAACTTTGGATCTACATCCTAGCGGGTTGAATGTTTGGATTTCTTGAGTTTCGACCTTTTTTCTTTGTAATTTCTTTTTATGATAACTCAATAGAATGATGCCCTCTTGTGAAGCTTGAAAGCAAGCTGGCTCGGAGGTCAAGAAAGGGTTTTTTCGTACCACATCAAACCAAAGCTGTTCATTCACCTCTTGCTCCTTGACCATTAATGATCCGTACTGTTTGGGACAATTGAGATAATTGAATAGCGGTGCATGATGCAGTCTTTTCAAGTACATGTGCTCAGTTTCTGTTTTCAAAATTAGCCGTTGACTACAGTCTACTCTGAAAGTAGAATGATCCCAACATCTGGGCTATCCTTGGACATAGTGCTCCAAGCTATTCTGGTTTCAGAATGATTAATATGGCCGGATGCGCGAAGCATGTAGGATTACAAACTGTTCAATGTCACCTTGAATCTGGGTAACTGCAATTTGACTCTTGTTAACTTCCCAACCACAAGGAATATATATGATCCATGACTATTTCAATTATTCAAGTACTTTCAAATAGATTACAACAATGGGATGCAAAATTAAAGAAAAAAGAAAGAGTAGAAAAAATTGAAGCAATGCATGTTTTTAAAAAAGATATTCTTATAGTACAATAACATCTTTCTCACTTATATGTATGTAAGTGAAACTTTCTATTTAGATCTTGAGAAGAGAAAAATGGTATCACATGTATAACAAAAGAAAATCAAATCTAATCCAGTCAAAAAGTCGAAGATGAACACAAGATTATCAAACATCAACTCAAGTATCTTTAGTAGTTGGTGGACGTTCTTTCACCAATCGACTAGAGCCTGATCTAGGAAACTCTTTTGCCTTGTATAACAAAGGAGGTTGTGGTAAACCTTTAAGAGATGATTTCCTAGTCGATCCATTTGATTGATAAGCTGGTGGTGGCGGAACTTGACTAGTTACTGAATACGATGATTCCATTCTTTTATATGCTTCTCGCTTTTCATCATTCTTCTTCAAATCTGGATCTTTAGGATCGGAAGATTTTTTCGTAGGATCGTTTGCATGTTTGGACGGATCATCTGATTTGACCTTTGTTGTTGAGTCTTCTTTAGACTCTTGGTTTGACTTAGGTTTAGGGTTTGAAGGATGTCTATCGCCCCATCCAGGTCGCTTACGAAGTTCTGAGAGGAGGACACCCCAAGGAAGACCTGATGCGGAATTATTTGAAGATGAAGTAGGGATTGGTTTGCTAGTTGGCTTAACATCTTTACTTCGTAAGGCTGAATGGTTTCGATGGACTGGTTGTCGATCAGGCGCATGATATTGTCCGGGGTGATGATGAACCGGATAATGATGATGTGGTGAATAAGCTGCCAAACCAGGATAGCCGTGAGGATGTCCACGATGTTCGAAATGTGCATGATTTACAACAGGATATGATGCAGCGAAAGCCAGTTCAGCAGCGGACGGCGGTAATAAGGTTTGAGCTTGAATCGAGGCAATCAATTGAGCACGACGGCGTGACGCAGCTCGCATACGAGAAATCATTTGTTCCTCTTTCCGATGCTGTAATTCAACCTCATTGTGAGGCTCTACTGCAACAGCTTGTGTTGATGGATTATCAACAACAGCCGAAGAAGGTGAAAGTGGTGAAGTGGGTTCATAAGTGGGTTCTTCCGTTGAAGGTAATTCAAGCCATTTGATCAAACTACGTCCTAGTCCTAATCCACCATCTCGCCAAAATGGAAATTTAACTTTTGTTTGAGTTGAGAGAGGATAATGAGCTTCGAAAGTTCCTTTTTTGAAACCGGAATGTTGTTCTTCAAATAGTCCATCCGTTCCAACAAGTGTCCGATGATGACCATAGGTATCATCAAGCGGGGTCATCCGTAAGCGGTAAGCCCACCAGCCTCCTGAACCTAAGCCGAGGTTCCGTCGATCTGTTGAGCTCATCACATCCCATTGTACCTGTTGTTGTTGGATTGACAATTCCTCCCATCGCATACGTCGATTCCATCGTCTTAATCGCTCACTCTCAATAATTGAGAAATCATTCCGTAAGACTTGTTCAAGAAGGTAGAGATCTGGGCGTACAGCGTGCATCAAAGGATCAATATACATACAAAATTTGATTTGTCAATAACGCAAGAGAACTGTAGCTAGTACTCACCATCTAGACAAATGGCGTCAATACAATCTAATTGTTCTTTTGCAACACCGTAATCATTCAAACTTTTCATCGCCCCATATCCATAATCGATCGGTATAGATTGAGCAAAAGGGTCAGAAGCTAAGACTGCATCTAATGGACGATCCAGAATCTGTCGTAACTCGATTTCGCCAGCTTTGTTGTAGATTTCAGAAAGACGTCCATAGTATAGACTTACGCATTTAAATAGATCAAAACCATTGACTGAAGTTGAGTTAAAGGACGAGTTCATTTTTGCCAGATAAGAAAGAGACGCAAAACTAGTAAGACACAATGTAACGATTGAACGAGTTTTTGAAAGTGAGCAGTGATTTGACATTTACCAGGAGACATGATCTCTGTGACCTTTAGATGATGCAGACGAAGTAAAGGATCTGATATATCGGGTGGCAACAAAGGCTGTGATAAGGTGCGAGGTCGAGCCAATGGAGGTTGTGTTCGACTATGATAATCAGGTTGTTGTGAGAAGTGTTCAGTGGGTTGACGGGGATGTGGAACGGTATAGGTTCCTAGCGGGGGATGTCGAGGAGGAATAATATCACGAAGATGGGGAGCTGATAAACCCCTTGGAACAGGTATTGAAGAATGATGTGTTTCTGGTAGACACCAAGTTGGTTCTTGAGGAGGGTATGGAATTCGATCATGAAGTGATCGGTTTTTCAATTCTTCGAGCGCTTTTGCTCGCCTTTTTAGCTCTATAAGCCTGGATATACTAACGGCTGGGGCATGTTTAGTTACACCTACGCCCCTAACCTCCTGATCGATCGGCAAAGGTTCAGTCAGCCCGGACACGGGATAACTTACACCTTGAGGGCGTGACTCCATGTGATGTTGATGATGTATCACTTTATGAGGAGCAAGTCGATTGAACTGGGCTAGTGATGTCAAATTTGGATGCTGGGAATGATAAGGCTGTCGATCGGATTCAAGCTCAGCTAGAGTATTTGCTGCAGCCAGTGGGTTTCTGATTTTGAGCAAGCGTATGTAAAAGCAACATATGTGAGACAAGTGGAACCCAACATATGAAAGAAAACTAAGGACTTTGAAATGAAAGCAGAGAAAAGATAAGCAGAAAGACAAATTCAATCCATACCTGGAGGATTGGTATAGTTGCTGTGTCAGAAATGCTGAGTCGGATGTGGGGTCATAAGATTCAAATCGTTCCACACGTCTCGGCTGCGAAGCCGGATGACTTGTGGTCAAGTTTGGATAAGCTGATCGGTTCGATCATTGACAGTACCACACGTATCAACAGAAAACTTGAGTCAATGAAACCTGTCTTTATGTACTAAGCTATGAAAGAAGAAGCGCTTTGTATCTCAGCTTACCGTGATGAGGTATTTCGTGATCTTTGTAGCCATAGGTGTCGTCGTGTCCTGGTTGATGTGGGTCAGCCTCAGCAAACGTAGCCGAATGGGAATTGACTTTTTGAGTAAAATGTCCAAACAAAGGGGAGATCAGCGAAGCAGTTTAGAAAGTAATTTTTGTTATTTAGACGGTTTTGTCCTCACAAACAAAGATCACATCTATAAGCATAACAGAAACAGACCAAATTAACCTACGAGCCTCGTCGAACGGTGCCGAATACCTGTCATCGTCTCTGTGAGCGTCATACTTCGTGGCTATGTCTCCATTTAACAATCGATCTTGGTAGTCAAGTTGAGCACTTGAATAGAATCGATTCGGATCTAAGTTATCATTTCGATGGGTATATGGGTGTTCTTCAGACATGGCTTCTTATGTGTTTCGTGAACGAATTGCGAATCTATACGGAAACCATCAGATTTGAATATCAGAATCGTGGTTTTGACTTGAAAGAAAAGCTGAACAACCCACCGAGAAATTAATTCGTAGTCGCGTGACCTAACAAATTGACCTTGAAAGGGATGTATGAATCGCTGTAGTCTAGAACCAGTATCAAAGAGTCGAAGTTGACCAGAGACGAAAAGAGAGGGACTGAATCGATAATGTCGGCCGGATGCTGATTGAGAACCCAATCATGTTCTTCAAAAAAGTTGGAATGATATGGATTCAAAAGAAAAAGCTATCGTGATGATCCGAACGCGAAACGATGGATGAATTGGACAACTCAAGAAAAGTAGACAATAATATCCAAACTACGGGAGCGTAACCGTATCAGTCTTTTTCTGAGACTAACTCGCTCTGAGACTATCCTGAGACAAACAAAAAAGTAAACCGGATGGTGGCTTTTTGTACACTGTCTGTACAGGCTGGTGGCAACTGGTACATATGTATGAAGACTTGAACAAATTCATCATTAAGACTTCAAAGAAGCTGTTAACACTTCGATAACCTCATCAAGAATCAAGAACCTTTGTCGAGTCATCCATGTGCACCTTATATCTATACCTTCAGACTCACTCCAATCCCCCTGAAACATTGTCAAGGGGGTTCTATCGCTACAACCACTTACATATCAAAGTATTGATAATGAAGCAACTTACAAAACAACAAAATGTTATTGGAACAAGCTACTTTGAATGAAAGTAGCAAGCAAAACCGATACAAGAAAAACAATGCATTGTCATCGGAGCGAGATACTTTGATGTAAGAGGTTTCTATCTGTTGCGTTGTCTTGATTTCTTCAAAAACGACTCAGTCGCCATCTTTTCAAACTGTCTCTTTGTATGTATAATCTTCACGAAAAGGACTCGATATCACTTCTTTTCAACCAACCTAAAATGCTTCCAACTTCTGCTTTTCAAGACATCTCATTTTGCATTTTATCAACTCGATCGTCTTTTGTATGTATTATTTTTGACCAATGAAATTGACCAATGGATGTCTAGATGTTCTGTAGTTCGTGGAAGGCTTATAAAGAGAAGGAAGCGCCATGCGAAAAAAAACGCGCCACACAGACCGGGATTGAACTATACCTGTATGTCTCACTGCTTCTCTCAGGTAGTCTCAGAGAAAGACTGATACCGCATCTCTCCCCAAACTACCGAAGTCGAAGAACACTTTAATTCTTGACGATATCAACTCTTCGCGTGTCTTCGAACCAATCATCTGATCCATTCTCACTAATTGACACCACACTCCCGCAATGGTCTCTCACCTCAAGTTGTAATATGACCCTCACTCATGCAAGGGAAATGCTAATGCAACCGGCATAACTACTTAAACCAATGACTGTTTCTTGACCGCGAAAGATTACATTCAAAATGTCAAATATTTAGCACAGAGGAACTACCACTTCATCCATTCGTGTCCAAACCAAGTCACATTCTAGCAACATAGCCAAGCTGTACAAGTCTCATGCCAGAACTATTACAGACATTAAGATTGTAAAAGAAAAAAGAAAGAAACTCAACTCATTCAAAACAGAAACCTACAAAACCACAATCACTCAACATATTGCACACTCCTTTTTTCTATTTTCCATTCCAAAAACAAATTTTATCATCCTTGATAATAAGATAAGATAATGTAAAATCAATTCTGATCAGGTTGTTCGGGTTGTTCGGGTTTAACCCATGGATGACGTTGAAGAAATTTGATCAATTCAGGATCTTGAGGATCTAGATCATGTAGTGGGTCTCTCACACCAGGTGGAAGTGGTAGTGTACACTTTGCCCAATGACGATGATCAAAGATACGAACATCAGGCTGAAGTGCCATTTGAAGAAAGTACCTGTTCAAATGAATAGGAGCCCAGGCGAGTCATTAGCTTTGCTACGTAATTGAAAGGGGTGTTGAGCCAAACAAACCTTGTCAAAAACACAAGCTGGCGGTCATGTTTGTTTTCTCGGGCATACTTGAAAGGCGATATCTTGACCCCTGAAGTCGGGTTGAGTACTATGAAGCCCCAAAGATAAACATTTGAATAAGTATGTGGATTGTATAGACTGGGGAAAAACGTAACCGACCAAAATTCCGACTCAAATCATCAAGGTGAAGAGTATTCGTTGCATTGTATTCGGGTATCGCCCGCCAAATCAATTCCAGAGCCTTGACCTACAAGTAATTATAAAGTATTAAGACCGTAGAAAGGTGGCAAGATCGAAGGAGCAATGCTAACTTCATGACGTGCAACTTTGCCATGCCTGATGGACGTGACCTCGAACATTGGCCCGCGATCGAGAACTGTGAGATTCATCTAGACTTCAGCAAGAGATAAGATAAAAGATAAGATGTGTAATTACCGAATTGGATCAAGTACTTGTCGATGTATTTACCGCCCACCATTTGTAGCTCGACTAGTTTACTCTCTAGCCAACGCCAACTTGTTGCTGACCATATGCATATCTGAAAGGATGGCATTAGTAAGGTGGATTAGACGAGCACCACATGAAAAAAGATGCCTACATCATAATATGGCCATAACGCAGTCAAGAATTCATGTAAATAGGGCCGAGTCATATCTAATGCATGTACCGAAAAGTCGCTATACGCTTTGGAGTCCATGAGAGTATACTGACGGAGGTGTGAGAAGGGAACCGTAAATCAGTCCCAATGAGATTAATGAATTGAATTGGATCAGAATCCATACATCAAGATCTAGAACCAGCAGCTTCTTTCCAGGGCGAGGACGGTTCTACACAAAAGTCGTTGCAAAGTCAAAATCTTAGATGGAAATCCAGGATTTTATAGATGGCGTCGTGCAGACCATGATATTCAACTCTCTGAATTAAAGTGGTATACAATGTAAAGTAAATCAGTTAACCATGTAGAAACACTACAAAGGCACTGCTGGTAAACAAAAACTCACAACGTCGAAGAGAGCTCTTGCAGCTTGGCTTGAACTTGAGGGAGATATAAGACGCAATCGTTGGCCGAGACCGGATGATGGGCCTGATCGTTGGTAGCCTAATCACAAGCTCCTTATGAATCAGTGCTTTGAACAGTATGAGGAGCCGAATACCAAGGAAGACGTACCTTTGTGCCATCTTGAGAGCGCAGGATGGTATTCTCTTCAGGTGTCCCCAATAATGTGAAGTGAGCACCTCGCTGATCCGGGGGTAAAGGGTCATCGGGAGGCATTGAGCTTGATTTTTGGTAAATTGAAGTAAGAAGTGGATGGTTCGGAAGAAGTGGTCGGAATGACAGTTCAAATCAGAAACTTACCTTCATTTTGAATTCAATTGTGGATAACAGTACATCGTCCAAGGGAAGTTTTCCAGGTACTAATCCTAATATCTTTTGTCTCTCTGGAGTAACGGCCGTTAATGAATATATCATAACCTTCAGGTCTCCGATCGTTTCTGTCTTGTCTATCTGTAATTCAAGCTGATAAGATAAGATAAAGGTCCTTAGTTCAGTTTCGAATTGGCCTATCCTTAAAGTACTCTACATGACATTGAATTGATTCCTCGCTCACATTATCATTCCTCCAAGAAAACACCAGATTGAGAGCCATGCAAGGCTCGGTCTTCTCACTCTCCATCGCAGATCGCTCATCGTGATATTCCGCAAGGCCACTCCCGCTTGCTACTGGTGGTCCCTGATTTGCACCACTGAAGCTAGTATCACCCTGCTCTGGGATGAAACCGATCGGCGTCTCCCGTTCTGCGTCTCCAGAGGTTTGGGTTACAAGAACTGCTGAGCTACTGCTTGCCTTTGTGGATTCATCATCCAACTTGGGCCGTTTACTGATTTGGTCTTCTGAGCCACTCTTATATTTATCGGAAGTAGATTCGATGTCCAGACAGGTTGGCAAAGGGGATTCGTTTGTTTCTGGCATAGCATTATGCGTCCACAACCACAGCTAGTAGTATTAGCAATAGGATCATTCAGTCCACAGTAAACAAAAAGTACACGTGAGTCCGATAAGACAGCATACAGCACAGGTTAGAAAGAGATCATATCTGAAATCGAAACATGATAGAACTTACCTGCTCACTCAATGGCCAATTAGGATTATGTAATTGAGTCAACGAGAAATCCAAGGAGGCGACTTGGTGGGAATGTATCCGGAGCAGCACTGTACCGTAGTCATGCAAGCCACGCGACAAGACCGACCCGAGGCAGAAAGACTATCCGTAAAGAGTCGAGTATGCAGGCTGGAAATATTGCAGGATCGAAAGATGGGATCACATTGACATGAGACCAAAAGCGCCGCGGAGATGTCAGCCTAGGTGAGTTATGCCACCAGAACCGCTGATAAGTATGTAAGAACTAAAATACCCTGGGGAAAAACCGCGACATTTCATTCTTGGAGCACAGCACGCGACATTTTGAATTTGCAAAAGACGTGTCAGGGCAAGGATGTAAATTCATTGATGTCTAAAATTGCCAGCCAAAGGTTTGTCTATTCTGACCGCAGATCTGTTAAATGTTCTTCCTTCAATTACTTCAGTACTCTATCAGCCCTCCCTCAACTTTTATATCATTGTGCACACTTTCCAAGCGTGTCATGGGGAGCTGAATGTGTTAAGATGTTTGTAATTGGGATCAATAATCACTCAATGACTCTACTTGACAGGTTATATACTCCGTTGTAAAACATGCTTGATATGAATTCTTGTGACGAGTTATATGCCTGGGGAGGCCATGCTTATACACCAATATGACACACACAAAAAGCCCCTATGTGCATGCTGGCTATATGAGTACATGGCCAAATCAAGCTAGTTCATGTGATTGTCATTATTTTTCCGTATCAAACTCAATACCCATGTTTCTTTATAATCTCATTTTCAATCTCCCAATCACATATTAGTGTTTCTGTGCAAGGCCAGCGGCTGTTGTGCTTTCTAATCAGATCACAATCCTGAAGCCACCATTCAATTCCCAGGGCTGTAGATGGTCACACTTTTTCCGATGCATCCTGCGAACTTGATTTTGCATCACAAAATATATATGTATGTACATGTGTGTGAAGAGTTTTTATAACACGAGAAAACCAAGACTTTCATGACATAAACATGCTCAGGATTGAGGACCATAAACGAGAAGAGGATAGAAAAATGTAGTTTGTGATCTAGGACTCAGAATCATGTTGTGATGAGACCTGCCTTTGACATATTCATCGAAGTCATATCAAAGCATGAACTCACCTCCAATATTCATTCTGTTAAATAGGTACTTTGGATCAAGGAAAATTGATGATTTATTTTTAAATTTTCTTGGGTAACAATGAAATAATTGTGACAAACTAAATACAATTTTATATGGCTACATATTGCTGTTGTTAATTTGTCGCGCAGTTGATTCCACTGGCTTGGTACAGTCGGAACAGGCTATAAAGGTACGGACGACAGACGATGCGATCAATATATGGATCATAAATCATGAGAAAGGAAGATGACTTACTGAGGTAAGGTGGATCGGTGGCTTTGAAAGGACAAACATAGACTTGTCCGCCCGGGTTCATACATCCTATGGAATTGGGAAACCATCAACAGTTCAAGAAACGAAAACTGTCAAGCCTGTCTGAATGATGAACACTAAAAGAAGGATGACTAACCATATGAAGGAACAGGTTGAGTATTGTATTGGGCACATTTTTGGTCACTTATACCAGAACCAGCGACGCCATTGTGCAAACAACCTGACATTGATAAGTGTGGCTGACCTATGACAATATTTGATGTGAGTTTAAAAGATCATTGAAGAAATGAGACCTTCAAAGATGATGCAACTTACCGTCTTTTTTGCATTTGGCAGTTGGGCACTTCCACGGCTTGAATTCCTTATCAGAGCACACTTTGGGAAAGAAAGGAAGCAATGAGACATGGAGGAAGGATGTTTGGCAAAAGAAAGAAGTTGATCCATTCTACTTACTTGCGGTGGCTGGGTCGCTGTTTAAATTAAATCCGCCTAAACACTTTACTTCTGTAGCCTGCGTGAAAGAACATTGTGCGAGGAGTATAGCGATGAAGATAAAAACGACCTGGCGAGGATATTGAGCTAATGACATGGTGGTATATGCAGATGTAGATACAAGGGATAATGACGACACAATGATTGCGACTTAACGGCCTCTCACACAAGGAATATAAAGGGTGAGGAGAGCACTGGGTAAGACCTGATAGCAGGGTCCATTCATTGGATTCGGAACTGAAACATTGGGGATTGGGCGGAGCCTGATGCTTGACAATTAATCCTCAAATCAGCTCTTTTCGCGACGTGGCACAAACTCCCTGGATTCCTAGACAAGGCAAAAGTCAACCTGAAAAGGGTAAAGAATCAGAAGGAATCCGACACGGTCAAGGGTTTTATGGATTGTTAACGGAGGGGACTACGCTTTTTGCCTCCTGCAGCCACTTTTATTCACCTTTCCGGCTTTTAAATTGACCTTCAGCACACTTGATTCTGATCCTCTGGAGGAGCATGAAAACCTTTTCTTGTGATATACTCATCATGTTTGGTTTGTACAGAAGATTTTTCGGAAGTGAAACTTAAATTTTTCAAGAACAATATGCCAACGGAGCACTGTTGAAAGGATGGTTTATGGAGTTGCTTTGTGTGACTCATTGGGAGGTGATGCTTGAAACACATGCTTCATTGACTGATGTTCAGCTTCTAAGGTCTTGTTTATATGTTGATGAAATTGTCTTTCTTGCAGGGCTTGAAACATAAGAACTGAATGTTCTTTATCAAACATAGGAGAGTGTTTCTCAACTCTTTGCCATTATATGGTGGGTAGGATAGAAACTTTGTTGATGGAAACATCAACTTGGGGGCAAGAGCAAAACTCAGATATGAGGTCAGGATGACATTTAAATCTTTCAAAACTTTCTAAATGCAGTCAAAAGTTGCTGGCAGAAGGAGCTTATCAAGGTTTTCTTACAATTGCTCCAGATTACAGGGCAGCAAAGACGGCTCTGAAGAGATGCAAAAGACGGGGCTTAATGAAATAGAGGGGCATCCATATTTCAATCAGTATGTTTTGGGGTTTATATCTCAACTTGAACTGAAATTTTCACTTGGGTTCACCATTGACTTAAACATGCTGAAGCCTAACAGACCCTTTGTGTTTTCCAAGTGTAAAAATTGGCTTGTGTGAGAAACTGCCTCCTCTTGGATCATCACATAACCAAATCAATTTTTTCCCTACACAATGGACATTCTAATGCCTTGGTAGGATTCATTTTTTTCATTTTCTGTTTTTTGGTTGACCGCATATGTATGACATCAGAACAAAGTTCACACTGTGCAGTTTTTGATCAAAAAACAAAACCTACCCGTAGACACTTGCTGTGAAATTTGTGGTTTGCCCCATGATCCAGATCAACAACATCAAGACCATCTTCAACAGACTTCTGGGAATCAACATTATTTCCAATACCCTCGAGGCAGATTGTGCATATATCACCTGTACTTGGGTCCTCTGTAATTTCAGGTCTCCTGAATTTAAATTTTAAAGGCTCCCCTACAGAATAGAGATAAAACTATGAGTCCTTTGCAAGATGTGCATACACAGTTGGTACTTTCAAATCAATCATTTTTTAGTCCAAGGGAGCAAGAACTTACCACACCACTTTACATTTTTACAAAGGTATGATTGGGCACCATTGATATGATAGAAAACACGGTACAGTATCTTTATAATTTGATCTTCTTCAATGGGAATTTCTTTGGATCTAACTGAACGAAGTGAATCATCTACCAGAGCTTCAATCAAATCTTCAACGTTTTGCCATGTGGCCTTCTCTAACTTTATGAAGGGGTGAATCAGTTCTTCAAATTGTGTAGAACTGTGCTTTATCCAGAGCTCTTCGAGGTCTCTGATCAATCCTACATCGTCAGATATCCTCCGAAAGCATTGGAATTTTTGCCCAAAGGAAAGATCTTGTTCTTGTAAGTGTTCTACTATCTCTTTTGCTCTTGGAGAAACATTTGGATATCCATGGAGTACCGTATATGCAAGGTCCTTGTCTAATTTGGATGAGTGTGGTTCTATGAAATTTTTGTAACATCTCTGCAACAAATTTTCCAGCTTGCTGTGTGGCATGGGGCAGCTTTCCTGTATCAATTCATCATGAGTCTCAATCATGAAGTTGGATAATTTGGAGTCTGGGTTCTCAGCATATTGCTTGATCCAATCGATCATTTTGATTCTTGAATCAGCCTCTGCCAATGCTTCAATGACAAACATAATTTGTTATCTTTCAATATTATAAACCAAAGAATCTCATGATATATGACTTACATATATCAATGTCCACAAGTTCAATGCTTACATCAGAACTCCAAAGAGCTTGACTGGCACCTATGAGATCCAAACCTACAATTTGATGAGCAAGAATTCGCGACAAGTTATTTACATTCATTAAACATTCATATAGCTTTGGTACCATGAGATACCTTTTGTCAGATGAAGGTACAGCGCAGCTCGGCTTGACTTTCTTTGCTCTACATCAGTATTCAATGGTTCCAGTGACCCATGGGGTAGATATTCTTGAAGATGTTTCAAGATCGCCAGTATCCAGACTGTATCCTTCATGAGAAATGGGTGATATTCAAGGTGGTTCACCGCACATGAGATTGTGCGGTCAAAACCTTCATTCTTATCAAACACATGGCTGCAAAATTTCCCTTTAGACCATGGTGTGGACTTCTTTATGTGGGATTTCAAGTACTGTACAGACTGTAAGAGCTCAGATAGGTAAGACTGATTTGGGTTTGTCTTGTTCAAGGACAGTAGCTTCTTGAATTGCTTTGTGTCAGCTTTTTCAGTACAGAAATCTTCAGTCAATACAATCTCATTAGACCTCTTTTTGAGGTGATTGATTATTGGTTCATGGACTGCAATCTCTTTGAGTGATTTGAACGCTTGTTTACGATACCTATTATTCGAAAGATACGAGTAATGAGCTGAGCAGGTGAATATGAAGAATGTGAAGAGGATTTGGAACCGCATGACTGATTAATGATGACATTCAATGAAAACTTTCTGGGGCGATTGTGACAAATATAAATATATGGGATTAAGATTTTTGATGGTAGTTTGATCGTCTTTCAAATGTTACAAGTTTTATCTCATATATGCATTGAAACCTAATTTTAATCCTTCTCTTGAAAGCCTGTCTATGAATATTCATATGTACTCAATCCAACACCAGAGATCTGATGTTACACTTGTTTTATATGGCTCCTGAATACCAAACAGGAGAGCACAATTTGATTAAATCAGATTGTATGGATAAGCTTGATCAATGATAGACGTAGGCCATTGGTTTAGGTCTTTGAGTATATAGGGAAAGCTGACCTCGGGTGCTCACCGGGCGCTTCGGGTTGGTTTTGAGCTTGGGTAGCTTGACCATCGTCCAGACTTATATGGTGCGTTAGCCCTATATGGGATTTTGACCCAAGACAAAAAGAGTGAACTGCAAGGTTAGGCTAAGATAGCAAGAGAAGCGCCAACATTGGGGTCCCACATAAGACAATCAGTACACCAAGGCTGGCTGTGGCCCGTGAGTCACAAGCTTGAGAGGGAGGAGTATTGCAGGATGTGGTTCGTCTGTCAAGAGGGCCTCTTGTTGTAGAAATTCCCAGCTGACAATTTAGATGTCGATGAACGAAAAACACGGTGACAGTAACCTTGAAATCAGCAAACATGAATGAAAGCGGGATACTTGATGATTGGAAGTGTCCTTTCAGGTCCTTTCACATGTTTCATGGAGAGCGATTTTGTTACAGTTTTTGGTAAGTAATAAATTAGGCAGAAGGCTATATATAACATCATCCTTACGAACAGTAAGATTTCAAGGTACTTATATCACCTCTTGGAAGCCGCGAGGAGATTGATGGGATACTGGAATTTTGCAGGATATTGTCTGGCACCACATCTAGACCTTTTGGATTATTCTTGAGGAGAGAGTCTCCCTATAGGTTAATTGTTACTGATGTCAGCTGAGATGTGACCCGTGATATACAAGGGGGTGGGAGATTTTTCCACCCTTTTCTTTCCACCCGTTTTGTGGTGTAAAAACCCAAGGGGTGGAAAATTGCATACCCTGGGGGGTCATATGCAATTTTCCTATGCAATTTTCCACCTTTTTTCCATTTTTTCTTGCAAGTGGAAAACACAAGGTGGAAAAACTAGGGTGGAAAATTGGATCTCAAAGCCACCAATATCAAATTTTCCACCCAGATTCTTTCCACCAGATAGTGAGTGTCAAAATATTTGTGCGTAAAATTCCATATGAGCCACCTCAGATTGAATTTTACACCCATTTGTTTCCACCAATTTCAAAAATTACACCTTTGCTTTACACCCAAAGAGAAAAGCTGAGTGTACAGTTGAACTTTCATGGTTGATAATCCATTTCAAAGGACAGGTTGCTCTCAACTTGTTGATGCTTTTTCAAAAGCACAAGGTGCTTTTCCTTGAAGCACTATATAATGGGTTACAAGATTTCTACACTCAATAATAAGGGGGCTCAAGTCAAAATTTTTGCGGCCTTTTCTTAAAAAATTGGGGAAAGTTTTTTATGGTACCGTGCTGTAAAAACTTTTCCCAACTCGTAAAAAAGGGCCGTAAAAATTTCTTTTGGATCTCCTTCTGAGCAGCAGATTTACGCAAATTTGCGTAAATTGCTGCTCAAAAAAATTTGGGAAAAGTTTTTTACCATAAAAGTAGCAAAATATTTTGACTTGAGCCCCCCTAATGAGTGTAAAGAGACATGAGTGTAAATGCATTTTTACACTCAATCCGGCCAAATTCCTGGAGTGCAAAGATTTTGTATGTAAATGGTTGTGTGTAAAAGTGTAGAGTGGCTCCATCTACCTACAATTTTACACTCATTATTTTTACACTTGATATGTAGTGTAAAAAAATACAGTGTAAAAATTGCTATAGACCCTAAATGTCTAATTTTACACTCAATATGGAGTGTAAAGTTGAGGAGTGCAAATAAGGGGGCTCAAGTCAAAATATTTGCCGCCTTTTCTTAAAAAATCGGGGAAAGTTTTTTACGGTACCGTGCTGTAAAAACTTTTCCCAATTCATAAAAAAGGACCAAAAAAATTCTTTCGGATCTGCTTCTGAGCAGTAAATTTACGCAAATTTGCTGCTTAAAAAAATTTGGGATGTCGTATAACATTTCCCAATTTCATAAAATTTTGCGTAAATTTTATGAAATTGGGAAAAGTTTTTTACCATAAAAGTTGTAGATTTTTTTGACTTGAGCCCCCCTAATATGTAAGCACATGTGCCATGCTTATAATTTTACACTCATCAAAGCAACTTTGTGACACCGTGTCCGTGTAGGGTTTGCTCGTCAACAAGTGCACACCGACTCCCTTTGAGGCAGAAAGGGAAGTCATGCGCGCTTGTTGACAAGCAAAACACTACCCGGACACGGTGCACATGACTTAGCAAAAAACTGCATGTATCTGCAATTTATCTCAAAGTCTCTCAAATGTGTCTGTCTCCTCACACATATTTGGAATTGGTCTCAAATTCTCTCAAATGTGTTTGTCTCCTCAGTGCAAGGAAGGTATTTATCCACTGCAGGTATTTAAGTATATAAGTCATTGTTGCAATACTTTTGCGTTTGTAAACAACTGTTATCTAATTGATGATTGTCTAATTACTTGTTCAATAAGTCCACTTATTGACAATAGCTATTGTGCTTTTCCCTTTGGGTGTAAAAGGAAGGTGTAATTTTCTACGTTGGTGGAAACAAATAGGTGTAAAATTCAATCTGAGGTGGCTCATATGGAATTTTACACACCAAAAATTTTACACTCATTATCTGGTGGAAAGAATCTGAGTGTAAAATTCAATATTTCTGGGCTCAGGATGCAATTTTCCACCCTAGTTTTTCCACCTCTTGTTTTTGGAAAAAAGGTGGAAAATTGCATATGACCCCTCAGGGTATGCAATTTTCCACTCGCCAGTTTTTTACACCACAAAACGGGTGGAAAGAAAAGGGTGGAAAAATACAGGTCCCCATATACAAGTCACCTTTACGCTAGATGGTCTGAGGATGCGCCCCGCAGAGGCAGGAAAGGGGAAATATGGATATAGTTCCGTGACTCAAGTGCTCTTTTTAGGGAACCATACCCTAGAGGTGCGCTTCACTTCCTGAATAGAGGGTGGGTGCTAACAAAACTTTGACTTCAGATGACAAGTCAAGTTTTCCGGTTCCAGAGCAAACTCCTCATTTTTTCCGATTCTCTACTTGAGATCAAGTGACGATTACTCAAAGGGAGGGAAATACCTAAATTTAAGTTAGAATATTTCCTATTGCTTTGAAAATTGAAATGTAGAGGATGTTAGAGCGCAAGCTCAGCATCTGGGATCCAACCACGAACAAGGATAGATTACGCATACCTGTTAGAGCGCAAGCTCAGCATCTGGGATCCAACCACGAACAAGGATGTGGAAGGAGCCGGGAGCTGGAGCTAGACAGGTTATATACAAAGCTGGACTAGGTCTACTGTGCCGCAGTCGTGTACATACGCTGGGCAGACCTCGGGCCATAACACTCCCCCCCACGACAAGGCACAGTACCCCATAGAAACAGAAACAGAGAGAGAAGTAAAAACAAAAAAAAAAAAATCATCACATATATGTGGAAAAGTCAAGATAAGATAACAAAAATAAAAGATCATCGCCGAGTCAAACAAAATGCGGAAAAGAAACTTGGAATACTAGAGAAATTCTCCCCCCTTCACATAATCAATAAGCACCATGTGGTAAATCTGCTTCCAAAATAAAACAAGAACAGAAAATATAAGAGAAAAGATATCAATACTCAAGCACATCAAGATAATCAAATATCTTTCCATCTTTTGTACGTCTAAACATGAATTCACCCTCATGTGAATAACAAATCACATCTTGATTTTGAATATGTTGACCATATTCCTTCCCAAAAAGGATACCCTGCTCATCTACTTGAAGGAGGTCGTACATATGATGACAAAAGAGAAGTTGATGAACAAGACCAAGAAGGTGGTCATAATTGGTTTCACTCGGTGTATGCATGTCTTGTTGCAGTGAAGGAGAATGATTTGAAGAATGATGATGATCTTCAATCCATCCATTTGGAGCGTAAAAGCCAAAGTTGTCAGTGACATCATATTTGCGGCAGTGTTGTTCAGATGAATTATTATCAGTACTATGTCTCTTCTTCTTGTTCTTCTTTTTCTTCTTCTTCTTGTTCATCAAAGGCGAAGGTATGTCGGTTGAGGATGCGACAGGGTGAGCAATATGATAAGGCTGTGGTGATGAGAGCATATCCAAATTTGATCCAAGGTGAATATCAGAGATAAAAACTTGCAGAGGGTGATTGGTTTCTGATTGTATTGAGACAAGATCATCAAGAACGGGATCGGTTGTAGCATCAGGGTCTGGGTGAACGTCAGCAGCGTGTCCGTGATTTCCCGCTTTAGTATCACCGAGATCAACTGATCGATCAACAGCAAACATAGGGACAGATTTCATCAGGCTTGCAACCGGTAGTCGTAATTGGTCATTTAGAGCTACAATTTTGGTTGTATCGAGTTCTTGATCAACATCATCCGCAAGTCCTTTCTCTACATTGAGCACTAAATCCACAGTTCGGTTTTGATCGATGTCAGTGATGGTGTCTTGATTGATATCACCAGTAGTTAGACAACCAACAGCAGAGTATAACGCGTGATCATTCGCAGCGCTCAATATTAGATCCTCAATGACAGGATTCACATTTGGAACTATCGCCAGTTCAATCGCGTTCAGGATCGGGTCGATCTTGGTGGCAGACGCTAGATTCGAAGGGACACGCGGTGGTGAAACAACAGCAGTGTGTTCT